CAGCGGATCAGCGGATCAGCGGATCAGCGGACCAGCGGATCAGCGGACCAGCGGATCAGCGGATCAGCGGATCAGCGGACCAGCGGATCAGCGGATCGACCAGTGGATTAGCGGAGCAAGACCAATTGAATCAAATCCCACGCACATTCTCACACATATTGTCTGGCTTTGGGAGAGAGGGAGAGATAGATGGATGGATGGATGGACGGATGGTTCGAGCACGCGAGAGAGAGAGAGAGAGAAAAGACGTTGACCAAGAGATTTGACATGGTTTGAAAACCTTTCACGGATGCTGATTTCCACCCAGACAGCTTTGGACGGCCGCTTTGTGGTAGGGGCATGCGCCCTTCTACTACATACACGTGTATACATGAAGTTTGCGCATGTAGACTGCAAAGCAGCATATAGTCATTGTTTCGAGCGCAACCCTTTTTGTGCTTCTCTTATCTTATACATATTGTCAAGCACATGGTTTGCGCGGATGGAGCAGCGACTCGCTTGCTTGCTAGATGCCGTGACCAGTGCAGACCCGGCAGCAGTTGTGCCCGATGCCGTGGCTGGACGCGTGGTTGAGTGTCTTAGTGCAGAGATCGGGCATTGCCTCCCTGTCTTTGGCGGTGAAACCTGTTTCCGAGAATTGTTGCCACTCCAAAAGTCCTGCCCACGGTGTGATTCGCACCTCGCAAAGATTGCATCTGCCAAGGCAGTAGCGACCATAGTGCACACAGGTGGTTTGGTCAGGAAGGACCACATACCGTGTCGCTGTCGCAACAAGAACTGTGATATGTATGGCAGCTTGATTTGGCATAACTACTTCGTAGACGCTGGAAGACATTTCTTTCTGGGACATCCACAAGACTTGAAATGCTTCATGGTTTCATCATCTTTTGGCTTTTCGATCGAATGGCTGGAAGATTTTCACACCCGTGTTGTCCGCCAACACGCTAGCTTCATCAGTGAGAGTGACGTCATTCAACAAAGAGCAGTCAGACACGGTCAGACTGCTTGGCTGCCAGTGGCCCGGCTCAGAAAAATGATCAGCGAGGCTTGGTTCAAGTGGCGGTTGCTTGTGCGAGGGTACGCCTACAATATCCCGGGTGTGGCGCAGAACCCCATTGACATACATCAGGGAGTTGAAGATTTGCTGAAACCTGTTCTTCCTGCTTTACAAAAAGCATTTTCAGATGCTGCCGTGGCTTCAGCACGCTCAGCAAACATGCGGCGAGATGTCATTGTCATGGACGGGAACGCAAAGAACCGGCGGGCTGTATGCGCAGCGTTGCTGTGCGGGAGAAAGCAGTCTCTTTCTCTCAACAAAAGACTCCGGCGCAATTGCCCAGCTACCCCTGCGCTTGGGCATCTCTTTTGCGCCAAGCACAATACAGATGATGTGGCTGCTGCACCTCAGGACCTGGGTTGCGGAAAGCTCATGGTCGAAGAATCACACACGCATGCACACCCTGGTGTCAGACTCCCCAACTCTATTTTGTTGGGAACAAGTGTTCGTCAAATAGCTTGTCTGTGCGGCAAGGGAAGGCAACTACACGAATGGGTCGCAAACTATAGGATGACCTGACGCCGCAGCCGTTTTTCCTTTCGCAGAAGAAAGCTATTTTGTTTGCCTCTTGGCCCTTGCTGCGTCCGTTGTGGCAATGAGCCGGGATGTTGAATATTTGGCGGCAATGAAGAAGATTTGGGATGCTGTGGGGAAGATGTGGCAACCAGCTGACATCCTCACGGGTAAAGGCCGCCAGATGTGTCAAACATGGGCCGTCCGCGCATCGCACCCTGAGTACCCATATGCACTGCACTTGTTATCGATGATGGCACCTTTGACGAACGGAGCTGCTGTGCAGATTTTTCCCACGGCAAGCAGTCCTTTGGTTGCCTTTGGAATCAACGTGAACTATTCACAAACACGAAAGAGCTCATGCACCAGCCATGCTGACAGCATCACCAGGGTGTTGGATTCCCATGTCCGGCAAAAGACTCAAACCTTCTTGAACCAGATGTCAGTGGAACAAGATTTCACGCATGATGAAAGCACTGCTGCTGGTCAGAGGCGCGGTTTCGGACAAACAATGCGTGTTATTGAACAGAACTACGAAACAAGCACCAACCAGAGCTGGCTTTAGTTCCAGAAGCTGTTGCTTCATTCTGTGTTTCATGTTGACAAAGCTTGTAGGTGTCTCGCGCCTTTGACTTTGAAGCTGTGACCCGAGGCCCAAACCGGTTGCGGCTGTGGTGCTATCATCCGCCATCGCAAGCGCAACCCCTGAGGAGTGGTTTCATAGATGCGCAAGTGACTTTGACCAGGTCAAGAATGGAAGCAAGTTGCCAGGTGGGCCACATCTCTGGCACGGCCGCTGGTGGTATGGAGTGCTTGGGAACCTCGACGAAGCGTATGATTTTCTCACCTCTTTTGGTTTGCTGTCTGATGAGAAGCTTTCAGCCAAAGCATCCACCAAGATTAGCCCGCATCAATCCTCTCTCAACAAACTTTTGCAGTTTGGCTCCGCGGCAAGAGCAACCAAGACGGCGGGTTCATTTGGCGAAACAGATTCCCGGAACATCTCGCTAGGTGTGACCACAAACATTCACCCGTCGCAGTTCTTTCCCATGGAGCGTGGCGAGAGTGGATCGCATCAAGTTGCATGCAAAGAGAGATTTCTAGTGGCTTCTGGGAAGCCCGTCCAGCCGCACCAAGACCTCCCCGACGATTTCATCTTAGAACCAGGCAAGGACGTCTGGAGCTGTTTCCTGTTCACCCTTTGACGGTTCGCTGGGTTTGTTGGGAGAACCGAGCTGTGGTTTGTTTACAGGACCATTTGATTGTTCGGGTCGTTGCTGACATCCTCAAAACTGCCTTAACACTCCTGTGGTCAGGGTATAGGAAGCTTTCAGTTTGTTGCGCTTCTTGAAATACCTGCCCTGGAACTTGCCAGGGACACCCAGACATGTTTGGGTACCTTTGCCGGTGGAAGTGGCCGAAATGCTCGGCGTCGCCAAAGAGGCTACTTCTCCAGCAGCTGCCCAAGCTGAATGGAAGGAAACCTTTCCTGGCGAGATGCCGCCAGAGCTCCCTGCCACGCAAGACTTTGCAGCCGACTACTTGCCATCTTCCGCGGGCTATCCTGTCCGCCTGCTTGACGGCAACATGAGCCGCCTGCGATTCCGCAGGGATCCCAGGGTGCCGTCTGGCTTCACCGCTGAATGGCGTGTGGCCAACAGAGCTTTTCCTGTGCCTCCTGAATTCCTATTTGAAGCGGCAGTCCTGCGGGTCACGGAATATTTTTCCGTGCCACATATGAAACTTGATCTCACTCCCGAAGCCCAGCAAACGCACATGTCCTACCAGGGTGGATTGAATGTGCAGTCCCACATGGCCCGGGAACGTCGCCTCGGCGCTGCGCCGTGGCACATCGGCGTTTTGGCCGGGCTGCTGCTGGTCTACGAAATCTTCTCAGGAGTCTACAGCGCCGACCGCTTGCAGCAGAAAGATTTGCAGGTCACACCCGACCACCTTCGACGTGCGTTCGCTCTGGTCAAAATCGCCGGGTCCTGAGTATATATATATATAATATGAGCGTCCGACAAAGCCACCGAAGACTAAAGGAGTGACGTGCTACATACTTTATAGACGGCGCAAACACTTGGTACGTTGCTCAGACATACTTGTGCGGTACGTTGCTACATACTTGTGCGGGCATGCTTCAGACAGTTTGGATTCGGGGTCTATGTGCCGGGGGGTGTTGTATCGCCGGGCATGCACACATAGAGAGATGTTCAACTTTGCTCCACTTCAGCATGTCTGGCAGCCCTGTGATGGTGTTTTGACACCATTTCAAGGTGCATACAATCAAGGACATTGCCTTGGGCGAAGAAGCTGCCAGTCCCAACCCCCAGCCGCAGCCAGCAAGAGTGCAACCTGACTTCGATGCCTTGGTTGGGGCAGATCCACTTCCCTTTCCCGGCGGAGATTTTGCAGACTCCATAGTCGACGATGCGGCTGCAAGTCACAGCCCCGAACTTCCGCCCGAGACTGAGCCGCTCCGGGTTGCCGACGTTCGCTCCATCGAGTTTGGGTATGGCCCGGATGACGCTTCAGTGCAGAGTGCTTTTCACGCGAAGCATTTGACTGATCGCTTCATCATGAAGGCTACGCTTCTACATGGGCATCCCAAGGTAACTTCGAAAACTATTTGCGACAAGTTGCGCTCCTCCAGAGAATCCGGTCGAAAGGCCTTACCGCGAGAGAACTGGGTGGCCGTGATGGAAGCTTGCGCTGGTTCTCCCATCCTTGACTTCCAAGACGACACCCTCCAACTTCGTGCTATACCGCAAGATGCACCAAGGCGGACATTCTACCACAATGAGCTGATGAAGTTGTGCGGAGTCACCATGAGAGAGCTCATGACAGCCATGAACCGAGCCGCAGCCGCAAAGGCGAAATCGGCAGCTCCTCCCAAGCGGAAGCGACAAGACGGACACGAAGATTAGATTGGTAGTAATGCCAGCTACAGGCTGAAAAAGAGATCTGTGCATCTGGCAGCTGGCGTTTGCGCACAAAAGCCCCCAAGGTGTACACAAAGGCCCCCATTCGCCACGTTTTCCCCAAATAGAATTCATATCCGTCTTCTCGAGCCCTGTGCAGGATTTGGAGATTGCGGAACACAGGATACAAACAGATGGCTCTGTGCAGGTGTTGCTGCGGGAAACAAAAGGGGCTGAAAGAGAAGCTTGGGTTTCCGAGTCTGTGGTGCACCAAGCCTTGCTGGACCAATACTTCAAACGCAAAGGTGTGGAACGACAACAGAACAAAAAGAAACGGGCCGTGGGCCCGTCCTACGTGGAATCGCCTCCGGATGTCACTGTGCTCCCACACCTCTCAGCCGCTGAAGATTTGAGCGCTGTCGCCTGCGTCACCCACAAAGAACATGAGCCACTTCAGCTGGCTAAGAGTGCGGGGGTCCTTTGCGTATGCCTTTCCTCTGGCCTCATTGTTTTGCTGCATGAAATATTTGGCTGTGAAAGCCTGTCGCAAAGATATTTTGCGCTGTCAGAAGCTAAGTGCCTGCTGCCAGAAGCAGTTCTTTGCGTCCATGACGACGCGTGCCATTTGCTGAAATACGCAGAACGCCGCAAAGAGGACGGTGATGTACAAAATGCTTTTCATGCCCATACGTGCTTTCTTTTGAAAATGCGGTTTTTTGTTTTTAGAACATATAATGCGTTGGTGCTTTGTTCAAGCGCTCTCTCCCGGCAAGGAATCGCAGGCTGCTGCTGGCATCGCTCCTCCCAAGATGGCTTTCGTGTGCGACCCTTTCCATATGACCGGTCACACAGACAGATGGTGCAAAGAAACCTGCGCGCCTACTTTAGAGTGCCACAAGCAACGCTTGGAAGGAATCCGGAGCAGTGTCTGCGAATTTACATTTACGTGGCTGTCCCAATTCAAACATGCGTCCAAGCACATGAGCCAATATGGCTTCGTGTGGTTTCTCACAGAAGTGTGCTGGACGCACAACGAGCGCATTGCACAAGGGACAGGCACCATCGATAGCTTGCAGGAGATGGAGACTTGATTGGCCCACGTGAAACACAGCCCTGGAAGTGCGCGTGTGGGCGCCACTGGTTCGATGTGTCCTCTGCAACCGAAAAGCCGTGGTATTGTATACGCTGTTATTATGTATGTTTTCCCAAACATAAGTTTCCCGGCTTTTGAAAAGGGAATTCATGAAGCGGTTCCCAGAGGACATGTGGAGCCAGCCCCTGTGGATTGGAACTGCGGACAAGCGGAACAGCGGATCGGCGGATCAGCGGACCAGCGGATCAGCGGATCAGCGGACCAGCGGATC